TTCATCTGTTTTTTGTACTTCTAATTCAGACTCTATTGTATTTGGTATTCCAATTGAATCCGTTTCAGATTTATCAGATTCTTTTTCTTTCTTTATTTTATTTATATCTAATATATGTTCTGTGTCATGCATTCTATTATCATCTGAATCATCATCTTTCTTGATATCAAAACTTTTCCTCATGCTATATTCATATAAACGTCTTACTAATTGAGTTTCAGCTATTTCAGCTTCAGCTATAATAAATTATATAAATGTTTAATATTTCTCTAAAATATTATCACAAATTTTTTATATTTTAATACACATCTATAAAATTTAATAAAATGTTTTTATAAATTAATATATTAATATATATTTATATCATTATGCATCATTATAATAAAATTATGTCAAGAATACAATGTCCCATTATATAAATATTAACAAAATTTTTAATCTCATAAATTATTATTCAATATTAAAAATGTTTAAGCAAAAATGTGTAAAATTTAAAATAAGTTCATTAAAATTCTTCAGTTAAATTATTACTTATTTTTAAATATTATATTTAAATTATTATTCTAAACAATAGATATAAAAATAATGGTTTATTGTAAACATAACATAATCTTTCAGTTGTATAATATGACATTTAATGATAAACATGTAGTTTACATTTTTAATAAAATATAATAATAATCTTTAATACCAATTAATTTTTTTAAGACATGACTTGCTGGTTCCATTTCATTGTTCTCTTGTAGATCAAACCCATTGAATCCCATAGAATCCTCTGAGCTATCATCTGGCTCTGATAGTTTCCGTTTGCGTCCTTTTGTATTTAATGTTGTATCACTTTCAATTATACTACTCGAATTATAAAACTTTTTTCTAGCATTAAATTCCGTACCCTTTTTTAGCGAATTTTTAATATCGCCGTTCACTTCTTGCCCGTCCATTATAGTGGTAGTTTCTACTTTAATTATCTCTTGTAGATCCGGCATATTTTCTGTTTTTAGGTTAAGATTCTCGTGCGCCCGATCAGCATTCCCGCCATTCACATTGGTACCGTCCATTGTGTGGTCCTTTCAGGACCGAACACCGATCCTACGTATTTTAATGACCAATGCGTAAGGAACGTTGATTTCGCGTTATTTGTCACTTCATAAAAGACTCCATGAAACGTTTCTATACATAAGCAACCACACTACAGTCCCCTCGCGTCTGGGTACCGCAATCCCGCGCTCATCTGTCTGCGAATGCGCATAACATACGCGCAGATACCACTACGCGCTATTTACACAACTGCCAAGATATCTTTTGATATGAATTCAACCAGTTCCTCATTACACTATCACATCACACTCATATTTTGAAACGATCAAAAAAACTGTATTATAACAAAAATTACTCAATTTTCATAAATATAATTTGAACTCTACAACTGAAAAACGACAAAGTCTTCGGACAGACACGAAGCGTCCGTAAAACACACAACCGGAAATGGCCGAAAAAAATATGCTAAAGACGCATTTCCAATGCTCATAATTTTCAATGCAAATATTAATGTACAATTTTGATTTATTGATACATAACATTATTTTGATGAAAATTATGATAGAAAAATTGTTCAAATAATGAAATATTTTAATATTTATATTAAATCTAATATTTTATATACCTAAAAGTAATTTATGAATTATTTAATACTTTATATTTTATATTTAATTCAATATGAATAAATAATCCATTTAATTTTTGCATTATGTATATGAATATTTCATTTATATGTATCTATAAAAATATAACTTTTTAATATTTATTCAATTTTAAAACATATCTACGTAACTTACTTGAACTATGACCAAATTATACGTTATTTCTTACGAGAATATACGGACACATACAAATACGATACCATACTATCGCAAAATAAAGAAAATAGAAAGATTTATAGCGCACAGTGAAAACATTTTTAGAATTGACAGTTTTCTACCATTCATCTTATTTTTTTTTTTAATTGTCAACAAATAAAAAACTTACTTAACAATGATATCAATTTAAGGAAAATTTATATCTTCCGCAATTTTATATACAAGGTAAATATTAAATTATATTTTTCTATTTTATAAGCGATTAAAATATGATGTATTCTAATTTTTTTTTAAATCTATTTATTTATTTTTAATAATCAAATTTTCTAAATAAGAAGATAAATATTTTAAATTTTATTATATATTTTATTTATTTATCATTATATTAATATATTAAAATTTATTATCAATTAAAATAAATAAGAATAAGATATAAGATAAGATAATAAAAATAAAATAAATTTATAAAATTTATAAATATAATACTTCAATTAAATTTTAAATTTTATATTTTTATTTTTTGTATAGTTATTAAAAATATTTAAAGTACATATATAAAAATCAATAAATATTAAGTATAGATTATTATTTAAATATAGTTACATATTTATATGAAATATATCCATTAAATTATATGATTTCATATAATATCTTTAATATTATTGTAATAATTTAAAAGAACAATATTTCAACAATAAAATTTATTATATAATATGTTTTTAATTTTATTTATTTAATACCATAATATTATATAAAATCATGTAATGTTTATTATAATTTAGAAACAAACACATCCTTCAAATGGAGCGTGTTTTGAAAGCTGTACCAGCGGATTTAAGAGTAAAAATGGAGGCACTTGTGCATGATTTAACTTTGGCATTAGAAGAAAGCAACAATAGTGCAAATGTGAGACGCAGATGGGGTATTAGAAGAAGAGCCCGTTCCACGGGCAATATTCGTAAGTATAAAATAATAAAAATATAAGGAAACATAATTTTTTTTGTAAAATTATTTAAATATTTTATATGTTAATATGTTATATAAATGCTTGTGAAATAAGGTTAAAATGGATTCTAATCACATTTCTATGAAATTAGTTCCAGTCTACTTCTACAAGGCAGACAGAGGATTGTTATCAAGATTGTGTTTATAGAAACCATATTTCATTACTCAAAGAAGTCAAATTTTATAAATCTTTGAAAAGTAATTTTTAACACTTGAAAAATAATCAAAGAATTTGAAAAATAATCTTCAAATAATTATTTTTTATTTCAGCATCACTTCACATGAATAAACAATCGGATGACAGTTCATCTTCCATTTGTGATATCCATATTCCAAAAAATAACACTGCCTCTAAATATCAGTCTGATAGTGATGATACCAACCAAACAAAAAGATTTGCACGATTTTCTAATTCAAACAATGCTAGCAACATTGAAAGTGATTCAGTTAATGAAAATTTTGTACCTAGAGTAAATCCACGACGTAAACGAAAATTTAAAAAAATGGCTATTGATTCTGATTCTAATCCATCAACTTCTCAGACTGTTGCACTATCAGCAACACTTGCAAATAAAAAGAGAATTTTACGAAGTGATTGTAAAAATAGATATGGAACAATATGGTAATGTATATTATAATAAAATATTATAATAAAAATATCATATAATATATATATGTAAATATTATGCAATAATAAAAAATCAAATTTTTTATTGTTATAGGTGTGGAAAACGTAAGAGGTCTTGTAGAGAACGATCAACAGATTGTGATATGAGATCATTAAAACCAAATAGAAATACAAAATCAAAAAATCGTATCAAGATACAAACTGAAGATGGTATTGATTGTTCAAGAATATCTAGTTCAAGTATTTCATCTAGTGATTCAGAAACTGGACTTATGACAAATGATGAAGATCGAGAAGGTAATTAATTGTTTATGTAAATAATGAATATTATAATTATTTCATTTTTTCTTCTCTAAGGAGATGATGAACAATCAGATTGGATTGGAGAACCAAGTTGGTGGGATGATGGCGAAAGTACTAATGAAGATAAAGTTAATACTGATTCATCATTTCAAATGATGATACATGGAAATTTTGAACATACAACAATTGAAACAAGAAAAAGTTATAGAAAAAGAATTCAAAGAATTAGAGAAGGTCTCAGTGGAAGAGAAATCCGCGCTGGTCGTCGACATGTTGATAATAAACCTGGATATTCAATTATTACATCAGCTAATGAAAAAGTTTCTAGATTTTTACAAGATCCTACTCAAAATGAACTTAGATTACATCCTATGCGACAAGCTGAGAGAGAAAAACTTCGCAGACTTGCAAATTTATATAGTTTAAGTTTAAAGGGAGATTTAGGTTGTCCAATTTTATATAAAACTCGACATACTACACAAGCTATTTGTGTAGATCAAGTATCATTCAATCGATTTTCTGGTTATAAAAGACTAAGAAGAACTCCACCAAATTCACCTAACTCAGAATTAATAATGCATAATCAGGAACATCAAATTTCCAATACAGGCTTTGGTTCACAAATTATAAATCCTATATCAAATTTAGATTCATTACAAACATTACCACAATTTTCTCATTTTAAATGGGATTCAAATAGCATGGATATTGAAATTCATGGAAAACCAAAATTACATGATTTTGATCATTCAAAATCAAGTTAAAGCAAAGTTTTTTTGTTAATTTGTTTTTTGAAATAAATTATTTGTGTATATTCATATGATACTTTTATGTGTCTTTTTATCAAAATAAGTATTTTATATCTTATAGTATTTAAAAAAATTATAAAATTCAATGTAAATTTTTTATATAATTTTTGTCATTAGGTTTATATAAATATATACATTTCTTTAAAATTATTAATTTAGAAACAAATTAATATATTTATTAATCTGTTAATCATTTTTATGTCTAATGTTTTTCAATACATATATTTATATTAAAATTTAATTAAAAAATTAGATGTAATTACATACTTTACTAATTTAAAATATTATATATCTTGTAAATTTTTAGTCTCTCTAATTTTTTATTATTTTTCTTAAATTTTAATAATATTATTCATAAAATAATTGATAAGCAAAGGTAAAATATAGAAATAAAATATTAAAAATATTTAATTTATATATTTTTATTAATACAATATTTAAGACTCTTTACTATCTAATTTTTTTTGAGCTGCAAGTATATTTTCATTAGCAAGCATTTGAAATTCTTCAAACCGTTGTGATATTCTTTGATTCATCTTTAAATATTTTTCCATGCAGTTTAGAGCACAAGTTTCTTCTTTTGCTTTGACATCTCGTGTAGTAAATTCATTTATACAGTCAAGAAAACATGTTTCTATCAATTTATTATAAGATGCCACAAAATCTCGAACCTGAAGTATCATAAATCTTCCAATAATTTAAATTTTTATTGTTTATAACTTATTTTTATATAATAGAATTTAAAATTTTTTATTTTAATATTGATAAACATTAATACATTCTTCATTAATTTAAATAAATTTTATGAAATCTTTTTTATCAAGTAATATATAAAAAAATTATAGATACATACAGATTTAATTTGTTCAGGATCCACATTTGTAGGAACTTGCATAGCCATTGTAATGATATATTTTTTGCTAAAATATATTTACACAAATAATTATAGATATATTTTAATGAACTAAAGAAATTATCATATTATATAAATTAATTTAAGGTTAGATTGAGATTATTTTAATAAAGCACGTGCAGATTGGATATATATGCATATTGCATTATATATAAAATATTAAATTAATTGTTTAACCTTTGTAAGTTTTACAAGATTTTTGATAGGCTACAAAGATGTTTGATCCTAAAACTATCAGATCCAAAACTTTAGATCATCTTAAAGTTATATGTTCCAAAATTCGTCGCTACTAATTTTAATTTTTCGGAACACATTATAAAAAAAAAAAGGTCTTTTTACGAAATCTTTGAATATAAATTAATAGAAACATTTAAAAATATAATTAGAAAAATAGAATTTTAAGAATTTTAAGAATAATAGAATCATGCAAATTACATAAATTAGGAATGATAAATTATTCAATATTTATTAAAATTGAGTATTCAATATTTGTATTAAATATTAAATATCAATATAAGAAAATAATGGAAAGAATATAATAATATTATGATAATAATTATTAAGATAATAATTATGATACAAATTTATAAACAATCAATGAAATATAACGAATTCATATAAAATTATGAAATATTTATCAATGGGATTGCACAAAAGACAAAACTATAGTAGAAAACGAGCAGATGTTTCATGTTAGCAGTTGACTACGGTGTTCAGTCAAAGTAAGCTGGATCTTTGTTTTGAATGTATCGTGGTTTTTTATTAAGAGGTAAGACGATGGTTATATTTTTTTTTACATTATTTGTATAATAATTTATGTGATATGAATTAAGAATTTCTAAATATTATATTATGTAATCTTTATTATAATAATTACAATGTAAATGTGTTTATTAACATGCACAAAAAAAATAGAATATAAAAATGTACATACTAAATATATATGTATTAAACTTATATATGTATAATTTTATATTATATCGACGTCAAAATTAAGAAAAAAAATATTAAATATAGTATTTAGTATAAAATATAATAATTCAGTAAATTATTTAATAAATAATAATTGCTTATTTATTAAATGTTTTTAATAAAATTTAGTAAAAATTTTTTTACTTATAATATTGTTATATCATTGTATTTGTCTTAAATTATGTAAAATTTTATATAAAAAATATTTTTTTTTATATTTTTTTAATTTTCTTTATAATTTATCATATTATGCAAGTATATGTTATTTATTATTAATATAATAACGATATAAAAACAGATGACAAACAGGTGTTCATAAAAGCAATAAAATGCTTAAATATATAAATTACATTACATTACATAAATCTACTTCAACATTTAGAACGTATATCAAGCGAAATTGACAGGATTGACATTTTCAATTTTGCAAATCATATCATAATTATAATAACGTTTGTTCTGTTCCAAATTTTAGTTAAATTTTACAAAAGTATAAAATGTTACCCACAAAATTCTTTTCTTTTTTATTAATTGTAAATTATAATGTTTTATTAACTTTATTATTATTCTGTTTCTTTACTCTTTTAACCACAATGTTATACCCATCACAAATTAGTCGATAAAATTATAAGTAAGTAAATAAAATATAATTTTCATTACTATTTTACTATAATATTATTTCAATAATCAAATTTGAAATTACTATATGCTATCATAAGAAAATTGTTATCGTAAAGAACATTGCTTTCTATAGATGGCGCAACGTTTCAATTTTTCATATTCTTTCATTTAATTTATTTATTTTTATCTATACATGATTAATAATTTACAAAGTAATATATTATAATAATTATATTATTTCAGAAAATTGAATAAAACTAAATAAAAATTTGATTACCATAAAATTCTCAAAAATGTCACATGATAATCAAAATGTTTCTTCAATCGGTAAAACATTGAATTCTCTAACCAATAAAAAAATTTGCCCGATTAAATCACATCTATACTCATCTACGAAAATGGCTAAAAAAAATAAAGTATTATCTAAAAAAGGAAAATGGATAAATAATTCTACAACAAGATATCAACATGCAATAAATGTTCCCCTACAAAATGAAATTATGAAAGTAAAAAAAATTGAATGTAAAGAATATATGGAATCCATCGATAATAAAAGTTATGATGATATGAATGATGATAATCCAGTTATTATGTTGCGCAAAGAAATTCAAGATTGGAGAATTAATGAAATATTAACATCTAGAACTGAAGAAAGACTTACAGGAACTCCAAGCGAACAACGTAGTTGCAGTTATGGTATATTATTTTATGTTACTATAAAATATCTATAAAATATTTTTTATAGATATTTTAGTATTTATGATTAATTATTATTATTATTATATTTATTTATATTATTATTTTATTATTTGTAGTTGCTTCCGGAGAAACAACAAAAAGACAACAAAGTCCGAACATTTCTAAGATCTCTACAATGTGTGTTGATTTTCCAGCAGTCACGTGAGTAATGACTTTTTATACATTCTTTATGCAGCTTGTACATTATTAATATAATATTGCTAAAATATAATTCTGAATCGAAAGAATCAATATAGTGAAATAATAATTTAGAATATATATTGCATAAATTGCATATTTCTTTTTTTTTTTTCTAATTTTTTTAACACGTGAATCAGTGCTATATAAAACATTTGTATCCTGTTATGTGTTATGTGTTTAAATATAAATTATCATATAAGTTTTATATATGGTTATAATAAGTGACAATAGTGTAATAAAGGTAAGTAAGAAAAAAATTTATATTTATGAAATAATATTTATATTATGAAAAAAAAAATTTTTCGAAAGTATTCTGATAATGTTTTGTGATAAGATTCGTATTTTCTCAATGTTTGATAAAACGTGACCAAACTGATTGCTATGCGTTGAAGAATCAAGAAATAAGCTCGAGTGTATCTTACGTAAGTAACTGTAAATGAAGAACGATGGGAGAAACACGATTGTGTATCTTCACGATGCATATGTACACGTGAGAAAGACTACGTCATTCTGGAATTTTCGAAAGTTTCTTCTAACCGGTTCCTGGTTATACATGCAGTAAGACCTGTTTAGTACTCCTCGGTACTTGCATCAAGTTGAACTCTATATCTTTTAATGTAATCTTTTAATTATTTACTTTTTTTATATAGACAAATATATATAGTGACGTATTATGAATGAAATTATAGTGAAATTATAGTAAGAAATTATTATGCAATTTTATAATTAGCTGTGATTCATTTAATCATTTTTAAAAATTTATTCATCTTATATGTACATAATTTATCATATCTGATGATTAAATACATAAATGGTTAAAAATCAGCGAAACATAATTTTACTAGCAAAAAAATATTTTTTTATAGTGTTAATGTCATTTCAATTTTCGCGCGCTTTTAGTGGAGTCATCAAAGTGAACGGTCAACGTGCACAACAACGAAGTAGTTATTGAGAGGCCGTTGTAGTTCTTTAGTAGTATCGTCACGAATGAAAAATGATAATGAGTATAGTGCTGTAGGTTAGTGAGAACAATAGCCACTTACGTTAATCAACGAAGATACATGCCGCGCGCGTTCGGTAGTAAAAATATTTTCGGCGATAATTCGTGCCACGAATGAGAAACATCGAGACATTGCCGAATTTGTCCCCGACCATGAAGTCGTTCTTTCGTCGTGACTGAATTTTCGATCTTTAAGCATACGTATACTCTTGTCATTTTGCCGATGCCAAGCTCGTGCATATCGAGAAGGTTTTATTTGTCGAGTCACGAATTCCGAGGACATTTGTCTTGAATACTCTCGAATGCATCATTCCCTGTCGCGTTAATAATGAAAACGAAAAATAAAATCATACGAGTATTCAAGGTCTACGAGAAAACGAGACTTCAAGTGCAGCTAGCTCATCCGGATAATGATGTAGGTTAGGTTCCCAGCGGTATATATCGCAAAAATCAACATTCTTCGTAAAGTCAGGGTTCGCAAAAAACGTAAACCGGTTTGCCTCGTAAATGGCACACGAGCGTGCGAACGGGAGACAGACGCGATGAGAAAGAGCGAGTGAGAGTAAAAGAAACGTAAAGAAAAGAAATCTTTCAATCGTGATTTACGATATTTCAATATACATATATATATATATATTTCTATTTCTCTAAAAAAAAATTATTTCATTTTGTGACATAGTGACTTTATACTGATACTCGATAGTAATATTTTTTTTATTGGATTACAATTTTAAAATGATTTCTAAGTTTAAGTTAGAAGTTTGTTATTTTTCATTATAATGAACTTATGCTAAATTCATTATTTTACTATATAGTCGATTCATCATATGACCTTAACAGTAATAGACTGATACATTTCTGATTCGTCAGCCATGTTTTTTATGTAACGTTACGCGCAACTCTATACGTGACGTCATCTTGTATTCTCAATATTGTCAGTTAGCATCGTCGGCAGACATGAAATTCTTGTAGAGAAAGCATGCTTGAGTAGTCCCAGATACACGATAATTATGCAAGGTCATTGCTCTAAGAAATAAAAAAGAAAAAAATTGTGCTTTTCGTTGAGTAGACATGAAGATATCTTGTTATTGATTCACAACAAGTTATAATTAAAGTCACGAGAAAATATTGTAATGTGTTAATTAAGTTCAGGATAAACGGTTTTTTTTTTTACGTAACATCGACAAACGATGTCAGAATATATAATAGGTTTGTTAATCAACATCATCAATAAACACGGAAATTTTATAGAGAAAGCATAATTAAGCATAAGATAGAATAGTGTAAGATTCAATGAGTGATGAAAGAAAAAACTATTAATACACGATATCACATAAATATAAGAACTGATTAACAGTATTTTTGTATTGTATTGTAAAATTATTTTTTTCATTTTATTTTTTTATCTATTTTTCTATTAAAAAATCTGTAATAGAAATAATTGCAAATTTTTGTTAGATTTTTTATTTCTATACAGAATGCATATTACGCTGCTAATACGACATGTAAGAGTAAAGCAGCACGTTTTTTACGTAACGCTACGCGTAACGCCGAGGCGTGACGTCAGTATACTCGGCGTCGCGCCAGCCACCAACGACGACGAACGCCGGACGCGGAATTCTTGTGAAGAAAGCACCACCGAGAGAAGCCGAGTGTAGCCGAACGGAACGACATGGCATAGTTGCACAAGGTGGCAACGCTGTAAGCGTCTGCTAGGTTCAA